TGTCTTTTGTTATTTAATTCTCTTGGGAATGGTTGAAAACCATCAATTGGAAAAGACTGATAGAATGCAAGCCGCTTGCAGGACATCTTTTTATATAACTTTACGCTTTTCAATGAGAAGCACGTCTAATAAAAGCAAGTGAATTTGCTGGTAGCTGGGACAATATGCAAAACACGAAGACTTCAAATTCATTTAAAAATATAACCCTACCACTGTGTGTATGCATGCTGTATAAGTTTTCTTCGTTCATTTGTCCCCTCAAAATCCCATAATTCAAGATGGCCGCCGTGTCAGTAAAAAGGTTTGCATTAAAAGCATTAATCAGGATCCTGTTTCCTTTTGATAGATTCACATGAAAACCTGCAAAAGGCTTCCAATGGAATGTGTTAATAAATGTGGAGCAAAAGATATCCCAAGAGAAGAGGTCAGTAATAGGTCTAATGTCCTTATATCAATACTCTTTGCTAAATACTGAGAAGTACGTATTAATATGAGATCACATGTATTGTATATTTAGATGACGTTTCACATGGGTGAGTGCCCTTTAGCAGTGCATCCTTGTTTGTACAGAGACATCGGGTGTCCATTCAAGGTAAGTTGCTCTCATCTTCGATCTTTGGACTTGGTTTTTGTCATAATAACTTGTTTTCATTCGTTCGTTCGTTCGTTCCTTCACTCGTTCATTTGTTTATTTGTTCGTTCGTTCGTTCGTTCGTTTGTTCGTTCGTTTGTTCGTTCGTTTGTTCCTTTGTTCGTTCGTTCGTCGACTCATTCCTTTAGCCATCCATTTATCTTCCCACTCACCCATCCATCCATCCATCTTTCCATCCATCCATCCTATTCCTACCTATGTATCGGGATATTGCTCCATCAACCCACCTACCCATCCGTCCATGCATGCATTTGTTTGTTTGATTGATTTGTTATTTAATGATTTGGATGGATGAATGGAAGGACGGACGGACGTAGTCACCTAATTGCACTTTTATCATCACTGCGTTTTCAGGGCAAGCGTGACGGACTTGAAGAACATTATCGCTGTGCAGTCCATTCTCACCTGAACATGGCCTGCCACAAAATACGTGAAAATGAAAGCCGAAGTATGTGTACGAACGGGACGTTTATATGGAAAATTACTAACTACAAACAACAGTTCGTACAAGCTGTGTCATCTCCAGAGGAGTTAGCCATATTCAGTCCTCCGTTTTATACTTCGCAATACGGCTACAAGCTAAGACTAAAAGCATATTTAAACGGCCGCGATCGAGGGAAAGGTTCTCATTTGTCTCTCTACATCATCATCATGAAAGGAGAATACGATGCCCTGTTGGAATGGCCTTTTAAACAAAAAATAACGTTTTATCTTACTGATCAGAGCGAACAGAAGAATCATCGGGTACATCAGCTGAGTCCAAATCGATCTTTACCGAACATTAAAGTTGTCTTCAACCGACCTTCTGTCAAGGAAAATCTTGGCATTGGAAACCCGTGCTTCGTGCCTCATGAAGCTCTAGACTCGGGGGAATACGTTAAGGACGATGCTATGTTTATTAAAGCAGTCGTAGAGCCGCCCAAAAGTTCCTTCTAACAGTATAACAAACGCATTGTCAAATATATATTTTTATAGTTCAATTTTTAAACTAATTTCTCTCTATGCCGGATTTTAAAAGGCCTAAGATTATAAAATATCTGGCTATATATTGAGCACTTGAGCACAACCTTGTTTGCGAATTCCGAGTTTTTGAGACACCAGGGGTACATCTCTATCACTGAACCACCTACCCCACCCCTCGTGTCTTCTCCACTGCCGGGGCGAATTTCAAGTCACAAATGTTTTGCTACATCGAGCCAGGACGACCGGCTTTAGTGGACTATTTTGTCACTCTGGTCTCTTCAGGAGAGAATTGTATTATGGACTTTTTATACATTAATGATACTCATTGCATATAGTACTGCTTATATACAAAGAATGCTTGTATCCTCGACTTAAAAGACGTCCAGAAGTAAGACAGTATGAACGTTTCTTTAGGCTTAGACTGCATAGCCTGCATTCATGTCTCTTACCTGACGATGTACAAAAGGGCTGGGATGGGGCCTGGTAAAGTGCGCCTTCTTTTCATCCTGATTCCAGCCTCCCCAAATGCAATACCGTGAAACTACACAGATAAATTGGTTTGTATTTCTTTAGTAGCAGAGGCAATCTGGTATCATAGCCAATCAGGATACAGTGGAATTATAATAGTCCACCAGCTTGTTTATAGCATAGACTGTATCCAACTGTGTATATAATAATTAATCTGTGTTCTTTGAAACTTAATAAAATTGTTTAGGTTTTTAAATACATAAGTCAATTCATTTAGGTCAAAATACGTAAGGTGGTGTACATGTTGGGTCCTGTTACTATCTTCACCTGGTGTTGTGGTGCATCTAGTGTTGATGTTCATAATAGCCTGAAGTGGTATTGATGTGAGGTGGTGTACATGTTGGGTCCTGTTACTATCTTCACCTGGTGTTCTGGTGCATCTAGTGTTGATGTTCATAATAGACTGAAGTGGTATTGATGTGA